TGGTCATGCTACAATCCCTTCTCCTCCATTCTCCTCTAGGGATCTTGGACACACACGCACACGTGCCCGGCGTGAGTTTTAAGCCACCAGGTCCGGGACTCGAACCGCGGTCGACTACGTGGGAGTCCAGCGACATAGCTATTACGCTAACTGCTGGTCCCGACACCTCTAGTTTTTGATTCTGTTTCCACATTTGTAAAATTCAGGCAACATTGTCGCCTGCTTTAGAGGATGATTGGGAATATGTAAAGTACTGTTGCATACTGGGACCAGCAGTTGGTATAATGGTTATGTCGCTGGACTCCCATATAGTCAACTGCGGTTCAAGTCCTGGATACAGTGGCTTAAACTCACACCGGGCACATTATGCATGCATGCCCAAGATCCCAAGAGGAGAGTGAAGGAGAAGGTATTGCAGTGAGGCCATCCCCCTGGGTGGTGATTTCTCGCTTTCTCTCTCTGTCTTTCTGGCAAGCACACACGCCCTATAGCAAAAACCTCTTAAAAAATCAATTTAAAAAATATATATACAAAATGTAATATTATTTATATACCAGACGAACCTCTTCAGACCTCAGACTGCACAATTCAGAAACAACCCTAGCAAAGTCAGACGACCTTGTATCTCAAACATCACCAACTTAACCTTGGAAGAAAGAACTCAGTCTCATGAGATGAAATTCTAACTTCTAACACAACTACATTATCAGACCCTTTACCTGTGGTAATTTCATGATAAAGTCATAGGCATTGGCTTCTTTGACAGCTTTCTTGATCTCATCCATGGTGACGTTTCCACGGCCATAGCGAATATTTTCTGCAATTGTGGTAGAAAATAGCACCGGCTCCTGACTTACTACTCCAATCATTTCTCTCAGGTATCTTACATTAAGGGTCCTAATATCCTGTCCGTCAATATTAATCTGAAAGAAAGAAATATTTCCTATTGAATATTTAAAACCATTTTATATCTAAAGCTTCAGGACTCCAATATGCTATGAAAAACTGTCTCAATGAATAGTCAACTTATTTCAACAGTTAGAAATAACCATCAGAAGGAAATAACAATATGTAAGAATAAAAATAAAATTATACTCTATTTTGATATTCTTTAAATTAATTTTATTTATCATCATTTTTTAAAAATTTGCTATAGTGCATAAGTGATCACCAGAGAGAGACAGAGAGAAGGAAAGTGAGAAAGCAAGCCACCAGGTCCTGGACTCAAACCATGGTCAGCCATGTGGCCCCTGATACTTACTTCTTATATATATTTTTTCCTTCCTTTCATTCCTTCATTCTTTCTTTCTTCTTTCTTTTTAACTTCACCATAGGGTGTATGTGCTCACCAGAGAGTGAGAGAAAGTACAAGAGAGAAAAAGTAAAACATCACCCCCTGGGGGGATGGCCACACCTCAATCACTTCACTCTCCTCTTGGGATTTTATCACATACACACATGCCTAGTTTTTCATGGATGGATTTCTTTCCATAAAGTATTTTAGGTTGTTTTAAGCATGTCATTATTTTTACTTATTAACACTAAATTTGAATAAAAATGTCCATTTATCTGGCTAGTCTACATATCATTTTTGAGGCATTATGGTGTTTTATTCTACTGAACATATATTCTACTGAACCATTTAGTATTTCCCAACTCTTAGGCATTTGGTTTCCTTCAAAAATTCATTGTAAAAGAAGAGAATTACTGATTCCCAGGTACTTGCAATACCACCTGGCATGGTATTGCAAGTACCTGGGAATCTGGCTAAGGGAGATGAGCAGGATTTAACCTGGGGCAGGATTTAACATGGTGAGACCCTGTCTTTGGCTCAGCTCCCTGACACAGGAGCAATAGGTTGCTTTAGAGAAGACAGATCCCATGATAACTGTGGTTTAAGTTTCTGGCCCAGTTATCCCGAAATATGCCGGGCATGTACATGAGGGCTCAGGATTTGACCGGCTGGAGGAAGGGGATCATGGCATAGCTAGGCCGTGGAGAGTGTCCCTCTCTTTCTCTCAGTTGCTGTTGCGTTGTGTGCATGTGCACAAGTCTATCATAAACAAAGGGTAAAAAACTATCTCTGTATCCTAGAAAACTTTGTATTCGCTCCTGGGATTGGTGCTCTATTGTAATGCCTTTTTATGTTTTTGTTTCTTTTTTAATTTTCCAGAGGGTGTGTGCACTTGCCAGAGACAGAGGGTGAAGGAGAAAGTACCTCCAGATGGGGCATGGTCATGCTACAATCCTTTCTCTTCCTCGTCTCCATTTTTTCAGGATGTGGAGCGTGCATGTACACATGTGCAGCATGTTTTTCAAGCACTGAGTCTGGGACTAAAAACACTCAGTCAGGTGGGATCCTATTCCCTTAACAACTAGGCCACAGGGAGCTTCTTTCTGCCTTGTAATCTGCTTTCACAGATTTTAAATTGTAGTTTAGAAAAATCTTAAGTTTGGGGCCAGCAGGTTGCCTAGTGGCTAACACAGTGAACTCCCATTTGGTAGACCACAGTTCAAATCCTGGAGTTGGTGCCCTGAAATTCATACTGTTTGCATGTGCATATGTGCCTAGAATCCAGAAAGAAGAATGGAGAATGGATGGCCACATGACCATCTCTCCCAGAGGATGATTTCTTACTTCCTGGCTCTCCATCAAGAGAGCAAAAATCTCTAAAAAAAATTTATTTCTTAATTTATTTCTTCCATGAATGAGAAAGAGAGAGAGAGAGAGAGAGAGAGAGCAAACACTCCCAAAAGGGTTTTGACATTGTCATTCACCCTGAGTTTCAGCTGGTGCCACTTCATGGACATGCTCCTGCCAAATGTCTTAGTGCTTGCTTTCTCACTTTCCCTCTTTTTTTCTCTCTCTCACTCTGTCCCTCCCTGGTCAAATTAAAAATAAATAAAGTCAAATAAAATTTTAAAAACCATGAACTTACATTATCAATAATACCAAAGATTGTATACGCTGCTCATCTTGCATTGACAAAAGCATCAATACACGGGGCAGCCTGACCAACGCTGAAAGCTCTGATTAGAACTGAAAAAAACACCTGAACAAAAGAACATGAGAAGTTGTTAAGTCACATTCTGGCCTTCCTTATTATCTAAAATGTGATTTGTTTGAAATACGCTACATATGGGATGAAGTTTAGCTTTATCCTCTTAAAACTTTTTCTTTAGCAAAAGAACATATTTGATAAGATTCACATATCAATAGCATTTCTTTGCCTGAATGGAATTCTTCACCCTCAGAAATAATTTTTTGGTCTAGTTTACCAAACTATCTGTTGCTTTCTTCCTAAACATATACAGAGGCAGATAGATTTTTTTCAAAGCTATTACATTGACTCTGAAATTAATGTCACCAGAGAGTAATATTTTTTGTTGGTATTATTCAGTCCTACATGATTTTCTCTAGCCATGATGAAATTACACAGAATACTCAATATGATATATGACAGATTTTGATACCATAGAGTTTTTCTTTAAAAAGCACCATTTTACCTATACATTTTTACAAATTTTTAACATAATAAGTAATAGTTTGGGCCAGTCTATAGCCTAGTGTTTAAGGGAACTAGATCTCATTTGGTCAAATGTGTTTTAAATCTCAGCCCCTATAATTTATAAAACATATCAGGTACCTGTGTATGCATGTCCCAAATCCTAACAGGAAGAAGTGGCAATGAAGGGATTGTGGCACGACCATACCCCTTGAGGGGGAGGGGCTTTTTCTCTCTCCCTCTCTCTATGTGTCTCTCTCTAGTGAGTACATATCCTCTCTAGCTATTAGAAAAATAAAAGTAACAGTTCATGTATCATGAAACCCTAAATCACTCTTGTGCACTGGTTAGTAAAACCTTTACACAATTCTGCACTATCACACACAAAACTTAGCACATTTCTCTTCAGTATTTTTTAAAATTATGATTTTGGGTTGACATATAACTGTATATCTTTGTTTGGGGGTTATAGTATGAGTTTTTCAAAGCATACACACACTGTAATAATCAAATCAAAGATATAGCCATATTAATCTTATTCAACATTAAATATTACATGATGCACACTTAATAATTCTACTAGTTTTTAAAATTATTTTGGGTGTATAAATTAAATAATCAATGACTTTTTTTATATTCCACTGGAAAAAAATATATATAAAAAAGGGCAACTTCAAAAAGTTCATGGAAATAGAATTAAAATTGTTCATTTTGGTGCAAAGTTTTTTTGAAATCCAGGCACTGCTTTTTCATAACATATATTTTCTCTTTTTTTTTTTTTTTCTTTTTTGGAGAGGTTTTTGCTACAGGGCGCGTGTGCTCGCCAGACACAGAGAGACAGAAAGTGAGAAATCACCCCCCAGGGGGAATGGCCACGCTGCAATCCCTTCTCCTCCATTCTCCTCTTAGGATCTTGGGCACGCACGCACACGCGCCCGGCGTGAGTTCTAAGCCACGGGGTCCGGGACGCAAACCGCGGTCGACTCCGTGGGAGTCCAGCGACATAGCCATTACGCTAACTGCTGTTCCCATAATATATATTTTCTGAAACTTAAAAAAATAATTTGCCAGAAAGCACATGCACTCACCAGAAAGAGGGAGACGGGGAGGGAAAGCACTCCTCAGTGGGGCACAGTCATGCTACAATCCCGTCTCTGTTTTTCTAGCTTGTTGGGATTTCGGGCATGCACATGTATTTTTCAACCCACTGAGGCTAAGATTCAAACTGAGTGATTGGCTATGTGGGATTCAGCTCCCTTAACCATGAAGCCATGGAACCAACCCTCCATGAACTTTTTGAAGGCCTCCTGTATATTACAGAGAACAAGTTACCCCATAGGACAGAGCAAAGATTTCCCCAAAGACAAATAATCATGGCTCATCCTTCTGAAAGAAATGCTATAAAAGAAAAGAGAAGGTAGATAGAAGAACAGTGTTTTCAGATTTTCCATACATATTAGAAAAATCAGTTACTGTCATTGCATTTCCAATCGTGTATTCGTTTGATATAACCAGAGTGGATCCATACCAGAAAGCCAGTGCATATGATGCATATATTAGCAGAAAAGAAATGCCCATGGAAATGTTTGCTGAAATAGCTTTTTTAATTGCAATTTTTTTTGGCATTTTCTAAGTGTTTCTGATACCTACCAGAAAATGATGGGGAAAACATTATAACAATGATCCATAATCCAAACCATACTCATCCCCTGTATAGTTGGAGGTTTAAGGAACATGAGAATCATTTGGAGAGATACAGTTTCCTGTGGATTGAACCAACTCAGGCTCAGCTGGGACTAGAACAGATTCAACTCATCTCTCGACTGGCCTGCGCCTCTCTCCCTTGATTCCTGTCAGACTAATCACCACTCCTGTGCCCCCCCCCAGAACTAAGTCTCAGCCTAGGTTATGGGAGCGCTTTTCTGTCACCTTTACAGCCAGCTCACAACTGAGACTCAAGGTGGAAAGAGATTAAACTAGTCAGCCAAGATTGGCACCAAAATGTAAATACTATTCAGGTCTTTTAAACAGTTAGACTCTTAACTCAGGTTAATTCCTCTTCTCCGGAGAAAAGAAAATCTTTCTACTGCCCCATCAGGCAAGAAACAGACATTTTACATGCTCTTGTACATAAACTTGAGTTTCTCTCCTTGGTGTTAATTTTTTAAAAAATCAGATTGACTTTCAACTCTCAAGTATGAGGTTCTAAGTGGATACTACTTATGAGATACAGGCTTCTATTCTATTTTAGTTTCATCTTTTATCAGTGGAATTAATAATGCTTACCTTACAGGATCATTGTGAGGGCTACAGATAATTACAGAAAGTGGTCAGTAAAGTGTCTGCAAACTGATAATTCCTATTACCATTTTTGTGTTAGGATTTCATGTCTTCCTGACTAATGCTCATTCTATGCCTATCATATTTTTGAATACCAGTGCAAATTCATATTATTACCTTCTTAGATTTGATAACAAAGGCATACAAGCCTGGACTAGTTCAGTTAAATTACAGTATTGTTTTCTTTTTTTTTTAGATTTTCTTTTTTTTTTGCTATAGGGCATGTGTGCTCGCCAGACAGACAGAGGGAGACAGAGAGACAGAAAGCGAGAGATCACCCCCCAGGGGGGATGGCCATGCCACAATCCCTTCTCCTCCACTCTCCTCTCGGGATCATGGGCACGCACGCACACGCGCCCGGCACATATTGTTTGCATCAAGTAAAATTAAATATATTTTTCGATAGTAGACCCAGAGTGTGTAAAATTTTATTTCAGTTCCCCAAAATTGGGGGTAAAAATCCAACAGCTACACAGTGAGACTTCTGGGACAAATATCACACACATTAGGGTGTTTCCCTTTGTACCAAAAAAAAAAAATCCAGTACCACCACTTTCTTTAGGTCAACCATATGAGATACAGGAAACCATTAGGCTTTTTAAATGTACGCTGCCATCAGTAGTTTGCCTTGTACGTACTGAAAGCACCCAGCTCATGAGTACCTTTCTCTCTGCTGGGTGCGGTTCTCAGCAGGGCTGCATCTCTGGGAAGACTGCAGGATGCCCTGTGGTCACTCCTACGTGACTGGGCCTCCAGGTGCATGCAAAAAGATTTATGTCTGCCCCGGTGTGACACAAGGCTCCAGTGACAGTGGTGGACATGCTGTGATTACCTTCACTTAGGCAGCTTGCTGACCGCGGCTAATGGAGTGGCACTGATTACACTGACATCCTGAGGTCCAACTGAGGGTTAGTGTGGTACGTGTGGACTATTGTGTACAGGAAGCAGCAGTGAGAGAGAAAAAAGGAAGAGTTAGAGAACCGGAACATGTTGGTTTAGAAGAGGGATTAAGGAGTAGAAAAGTAGAAAATGATATAGAGGGGATTTGCTTTCAACCCTGGAGCATATCCAGAGAGTTTTCATTTCAAAGAGTTCTGGGTATCTGGAGTCCCTTAGAATGCCAAAGAAAATACTTTTCAGGGAATCCTTTTTCAGCTATCTAGCTATCCTAGGGGATACTGTTACTTAAAGAAAATCTTAGGTAAGAATCTGTGTTTAGGTGAAGCAGGGTAGTCACTATTCACAGGTGTATATGTATCCTCAAACTCACTGAGATGTACACATTAACCATGTAGAGCGTTGATATGTTGATTATACTCCAATAAAGGGTTGTTTGGTTTTTTGCTTTTAAAGCAACTGCCCAGGGTTTTAAGCACAGGTTCATAAAGAAGACCTTGAGACACATCTCCAGATGCTAACTGGTTTGCCAAGCTCATCCTGGATGTTAAGGTCAGAAGATGAAGCCAGGGCAAGAAGCCTAGACCATCCTGGGAGGACTTATATGGCCCCACTGCAGAGCATCCTGGGTAGTAACTGGGAGGTCCACAGTTCTTTGTTTTTCTTTTCTATATTCCACTTCATGATCATTACAGAGTAAATAAAAAAAATGTACTTCATAACTTCAATATAGCTGGCTCCCTTTGTAACCAGATACATTTTGATATATGCTTACAGACATTATTCCAAGAAGAGAGCCCATGGGTGTCGTAATTGCTAAAGGAATCCATGGAGCACACAAGGCTAGAAACTCTGCTTTTGAGCCTGACATCAAACTACAGGAAAGGCTGCTTATAATTTGTGGGGGGAAGGGTTAATAGTAGGAAAGGGAAAGTAGTGAACATATACCACAAAAGAATAAGCAACCAAATGTAAAAGGGGGTTCTTTGAACTCGTGGACAAAGAACCTTCCTGACCTTTCCAGCTCTTTGTTCTGGCCCCCAAAAGCTATCACAGTTCTGATGGCCCCCAGAGCCTCTTCTGCCACGGCGCCTGCTTTTGCGTATGCAGCTAGTTCTTTGTCACTAAATGTCGAGAGTATCTGGACAGAAGAGAAACAATCGTGACTTTTGTATGAGGACAAAAGTTAAAATCCAGTCTTGCCAAGGCTTTAACCTACTTGTTCCTTCCCTAACCCTATCATTTACCAAACATTGAAGTCGCACAGCAAATGACACCCAGTGTATGCCATCCAGGCCCTGCTTCCATCTCCCACAAAAGCTGGATCAGATCCGCCTAGGGACAGGATCCCAAGGGTGGCCGGGAAAAGGAAATGCATGCTGAGTCCTCTAAATAGCATTTTGGCGAATAGTGTGAAATTCAACATCTACTATTTTTTTGTTGTTGTGTTGTTGTTCATTGGAAAGTAAAAATAAAACTTAGCGGCATTGAAAAAATTCATCCTTTCCTTTATTTTGTCACAATTTTCAACTGCTGTGAAAATATTATTTTCAGGTCTACTCATGGGCATTCTACTGAGTAAGATGATGGCTAAATAAGATGTTTTAGGAGCAAAGTTAAAGAAGAATCAAAATTAAGATTTACAAGTAGTTGACTAAGTAAATCATCAATCCTACAATGAGCAAATATCGCCAGTAGAATGTATCAATTCCAATGTATTGGCTCGAGAAGGGGAAGTTAGGTGTCTTTTGTTGCAAGGCAAAACTGGCAGAGTGCTACTTAACCATCATACATAACAAAAATAAAGAGAATAAATCAAGCTATTCAAAATGTATATATTTATGCAATAATTTGGAAGATTATAACATTTAAAATTGTGTTTCTTTGAATAAGGACATACCTATACCTTATCCTTTTTGCTACTATGCCAGGAGATTTGCCCAAACAAATAATAGCAGTGCAATAGACCTGTGATTGAGGTTATAACTGTGACACTTTGAATCACACTAAAAATTAATCTTCTTACTAAATTGTCATACTAACAACATGCTTTCGGACGTGGATTCAATGGACATTTAATACAAATATGTACAAGTATCCGCATCCCGCCTACTAGAAATAACTACTAGGCTGTTGTTATGATATAACACATAGAAAATGCTCATATTTCATATACCTTTGCCCAAACAGCTGCAGAGAGTCCCAGGATAGGGCTGATGACCATTATCACAAGGGTGAGCTTCCATCCTCTGATGAACCCCACTGTGAATCCTGCAAAAAACGTGGCTACTGCTTGAAAGAACATTCCAACCTTGTCACCAATTCCTTCACTGATTTTGGAGATGTCACTAAAAAAGATCACACCTAAGTGGTTACAGGCAGGAGGTCTTCAGTTAGAAAGGTGAAGTAGACATTGAACAAACACATAGGTCAAGCGTGTCCATACTACTTCAAGTCTCTTTCAATCTTAGCCTCTTGAATGATATTTTCCCCACCTAAATACTGCACAAACGAACAAAATTCAGGGTTAGTCCATGCTTCTAAGAAGTTAGTATTATTAAAGTTAATACTACTAAATTAGTCAATCCTATAAGAGAAGCATTAACATTGTGAACATATGTTATAAAAGCCAGAGTTAGAAAGAGCATTGCAACAGGAACTAGGGAGCCGTTGCAGGGAAGTATAATCCCCACCACAGAGAAGGAATAATGGAGAACTCCTTATTTCTAGCTTTGCTCATAGGTTTAAATTCAATCCATTCTCAACAGAGCAGCCTTTGTGATCCTTTTCAAATGGAAGGCTGACCTTGTTACTCCTCATCCCCCAAACTTCTAATGGCTGCCATTTCACTTCCAGTGAAAGTTAAAGTTCTCACTGCAACCTCTAGGGCCCTAAAAGCCACCTCCTCCTTTTCTTGACCTCATCTGCTCACTTTTCCTGCTAGGACGCCCAGTCAGGAAAAGCTTATCATCTGTCTCCCCCTGCTGGAATAGGAGCACAAAAAAGACGGAGATGTTACAAAAAAGAGATGTTTGCTTTGTTCAATGATACAATGCTACATCTAATTGGGGTAGCACTATTAGGTGTGTAGTACTTAATAGGCCTTGTACTATTTGTTGCTCAGTGGAGTGCCGACAATTACTAAAGTAAATCTCTTTGTGAATTAATCCAATCATTTATTCATTTATTCGACTACCTTTACTGAGGGTCGAGCACCTGCCAGGCCCTGTAGCAAGCTCCATGAAAATAAACAGATATAAAACGTGCACTGGGGGGGACCAGCAGACGGTGTAGTGATTATGTCACTGGACTCCTGCATGGCCAACTGCAGTTTAAGTCCTGAGTTGGTGGCTTGAAAATAATGCTGGGTACAACGGAGGGAGAAGGGGGGGCAATGATTCACACCCAGCCACACCCACCCCCCGGGGGGATTTCTCACTTTCTCTCTCAATGTCTCTGTCTCTCTCTCTGGAGAATGCACACACTCTATGGCAAAAACCTCTTAAAAAAACAAAAAGATGTCCACTTGGTCCTTAAATAAATCTACTATATAACTGGAGGGGGAAAAGTCATGAAAACTCATAGATATGGAAAAAACACTGTTGTAGAGATACTCTAGATGCTGCTAGAAATGGCGGTCAGGTGATATGTTCTCCATACATTTAAAATACTTAATCTAGTACACTGGTTTTTACATCAAAATGTCCCTTGACAAATTTTCACAGTTAGTGGTTAATCTCTTACAGTATGCGTGAGGTTAATAACGCACTTACTCTGATAGCCTTGTGTTGAGCTCGGCGATGTCGTTGATGTCAAACCAGCCTATTTCTTGACGTAGGATTGCATGAAAAAACTTTTGCCTGATTTTCTTAATCTGTCGGCCAGCTGCCAAAGTCCAGAATGAAACTTGTATATAGGCAGCAACGAGTACCCCAGCACCTAATCCTGAGTAGTAATATGCATACCTGGAACATAATTAGAAAGGCTCTGTTAAATTCTGTTCTTTATTTGTCTTTCTCAGGAGAATTTTCAGAATTGGGATTAAATCAGTTTATTAACCTGATCACAAAGATTGTATAAGGACATTTTAAAAAGTACACATTAAGATTATTTTTATCTTTTCTTAAATTTTCATGATGGCAAATCTATTTACTTGAACTAGCAAGAAAAAGAGATACAATTTAGTGGTTAGCTGAAAAGAAAATGGTATTAATTATTTTTAACCAGTATCAACAGTTTACAGATACAATTTAACACTTTCACAATTGTATTCTGGTTGCGTATCTTATTATATTGAAATTTACATATTACAAGTATAAAAATAAACTGACTGAGCATGTAAAATGGTTCTTATTGTGTTTTTCCATCTAGTTTACACAAGGGGCATTGTGTTTTCCCCATTTTTAAAAAAAGGGAAAAAAAAAAAAAAAAAAAAAAAAAAAAAAAAAAAACAACAAACACCAACTTCTTCCTGTTTGGCAGACTTGGAAAATATCTTTTAAGTAATAGGATAAAATGCCAAAAATTCAAACTGATTTGGAGTGAAGGCTTAAACATATTCATATAATATTAATACTGAAATTTATATATTGCCAATATAGAAGTAAAGGGATTGAGCATATAAAATGGTTCTTATTGTGTTTTTCCATCTAGTTTACACAAGGGGCCAAAAAAAATAAAAGTTCTTCCTATTTGACAGACTGGGAAAATATCTCTTAAGTAATATGATAAAATGCCAAAAATTCAAACTGAATTGGAGTGAAGGCTTAACCAAATTAGTAGAATATTGTCTTCAATAATAACAAATAAATTTCAATACTTTCAAATATACTTTTAATCTCATTTAAAAACTATTTCCAGATAGAAGCCTTTCAGACCTGCTTTAGCAGACAGATAGTACTCATTTTAATCAGCAACAGTAATTGATTTGCGAACATACAAACATCATGTTACGGGCTTTTGACATTCCTTTGAAAAGACCAAAGGGGAAGAAAGGCCATAAATAACATTATTGGATCAACTGGCAAAACTGGAATATAAATGAAGGTTAGGTCGAAGAACTGTATCAATATTAAACTTACTAAAGTCGGTAACTGCACTGTGGTTATGTAAGAAAATATTCTTATTCTTAGGAACCTTACTGAAGTACAGAGCCGTGACATATGCCACTTACTTTAACTCGGAGGCGGGACACAAATGATTACAACAGCTGACTCTGGGTAAAGAGTGCAGGTGCTTTTGTATGTTCTTATGACTCTGTAGCTGAACTCACATTCAAGTGACACATTAAATATAGTACAAGGTATGCATATTTATCAATTACCTAGTCATTTCTTCTTCCAGAATTCTACCTGGATTTAGCAGCGACAATGAAAAATTCACTAAATTAAAACAAAAGAGAAACAAGACATCTGTAAATGGCTGAACTATTAATAGGCATCATCAGGTTTGTAAAATCTATTAAGAATTTTAATATATGAAAGTTAGAAGATGTGGTAGGTAAGGTTCTCTAAGAAAAGCAGTCAATTTTTTGTTTGTTTGTTTTTCGGAGCGGTTTTTGCTATAGGGCGCGTGTGCTTGCCAGAAAGACAGAGAGAGACAGAGAGACAGAAGGTGAGAAGTCACCCCCCAGGGGGGATGGCCATGCTGCAATCCCTTCTCCTCCATTTTCCTCTTGCGATCGTGGGCATGCACGCATACGCGCCTGGCGTGAGTTTTAAGCCACCGGGTCCGGGACGCAAACCACGGTCAACTATATGGGAGTCCAGCGACATAGCCATTACGCTAACTGCTGGTCCCAAGAAAAGCAGTCTTTCTCTCTCTTTTTAAAAAGTTTATTTCATTTCAGTCATGACTGAGAGATGGACAGAGAGAGACAGCACCCCAGACAGGCTCTTGATGCTGTGACCCACCAGCAGCAGCAGCCAGTAGAAATGATGGGCAGCACGCAGGCATGTGCCTGTTACATTCAGGACAGTCTCCAGAGGGGAGCCCAAAACCTTCCCTGGTGGATACATTTTACTGCTGCAACACCATTTGAGCTCACACTCTTTTTTTTTTTTCTTTTTAGAGAAAGAGTTTTTTTTGCCATAGGGTGCATGTTCTCACCAGAAAGACAGAGAAAGCACATGAGAAAGTGAGAAATCACTTACTTCCTAGGTGGGTGGGTCAACCTGAGTTAGGCTATGACCATGCCTCAATCCCTTCTCTTCCATTCTCCTCTTGGGACTTTGGGCATGCATGCACATATGCCCCACGTGAGTTTTAAGCCACAGGTCTGGGACTCAAACCATGGTTGGCCATGTGGAAATCCAGCACCTTAACCACTGGGCCACCTGCTGGCCCCTACACTCTTCTTTTTATGCTCAAGTACACTCTTTTCACTTTACTAAGTGAAGAGCCCATGAGTTTAGATACAGAGCATCAAGGGCTCAGCTGGGAGACGTATCCTTCCCAGGTTCTCCCCATCTTAGCAGGCAGGGGCCATCAGCAAAGCAGCTTCCTAAGGCAGCACAGAGGAGCCAGTTAAGGACAGGGACAAGGGAGCCACAAAGCATAGAGAAGGCAGAGAAGAGGAAAGGAATGGCTAACAAAGAACACACAGGATTTAAGGGACACTTTCTTTTCATGTTGGCTCTTGCTTCTGCAGATTTTATTTTTTATTTTACTTATTTTTTTAGAGAGAGATTTTTTACTATGGGGTGTGAGCACACAACAGAGAGACACAGAGACAGAAAGCGAGAAATCACACCCCTTAGGGGGATGGCCAGGCTACAATCCCTTCTTCTCCATTTCCTCTTGGGATCTTGGGCACGCACACACACATGCCCGGCATGAGTTTTTTATTCACCAGGTCTGGGACGTGAACTATGTCAGCTACATGGGAGTTCAGCGACATAGACATTACGCTGACTGCCAGTCCCACTTTCACTTTTCTATAAACACAAAGCGGAGCCAGTCTGTGTGGTGCGGTACTTAAGGATACTGGATCCCAAAGAATTGACTGTGTGGTTCGAGTCCCAGACTTGGTGGCTTGACAAACATCTTGGGCCTGTGTGTGGGCACACCCAAACTCCTGAAAGCAAAGAGAGATGGAGAAGAACAGATTGTAGCAGGACCTTCCCCCATGAGGGTGCTTTCTTGCTTTCTCTCTCTCTCTCTCTGTCTCTCTCTGGTGAGTGCATGTTCCCTCTGGCAACCCCCTTCCCCCAAAAAACCCCCCACAAAGTGAAAACACGTAAAGGGAATAACCTGTATAGTCAGCAATCACAAAACACCACTACACCAGTGCTTAAATACACCAGGGCAGGTATTTCCCATTTACCGGGATTATGAGAGAGAAACTGGTCTATCTTTGTTCCTGTGTCATGTGTAAACAGCCCAGGGGTCATGTTTTCTGGGTACTGTGTATCCTCCTTATCTTTTTCCAAAGTGAGATATGGTTGAAACTGATTTAAAACTTAAACTACTGTCAGAACCAATTACAAGGTACATGGCCCCAAGTAGGCATAATTTCCCCTCAGAATCATAACTTCTACTGATGTTCACACCAGACATTTCTGATGAGTACTCCAGCTCTTTATCAGTTACCAGACCTGCAAGGAAATACCCCATTTCCCTTCTCTTTTTATCAGCTCAATTCTGTGTGCTCATTTCGTTCCTTGCTCTTAAATATGACAAATTGAGACAATGTTTGGAACTAAAGGCAGACGCACTATTCTAAAGCTGTAGTATTGGGAGATACGACACTGTGTGTATTGGAGTGCATGTGTGTGTTTTCTGAGTGTAGAAATCGAGTGAAATCTTGAGTAAATTTTATTCAATGACAGCCACGGCAAACATCTAAATTCCCCCAGGAAGAGTATCCTAACTAAGGTTGACCCACTCACCCAGGAAATAAGAATCTCTGGACATTCCTGATTCAGAGTTTCTCAGAGTCCCAGGCCAATAATGGCTATCTATTGGCTAGTCTGAAAAGCTATGGCACATTTTTTTCATGGAAAAACATATCATGACTTTTCCGACCACCTATAGTTCTGAGTTGGTAACTTGAGGAGCCCAGAGCCTCCTTCTGCCTGGGGACGATGTGGGTTGACTGAGCAGAGAGAGGAATCATGAGATTCTGGATCTGGCAGGATCCTAGAAACGGTATCATCAGATACACCTATCATGCTCCAATCTCACAGCCTCCAAGTAGTCACCTGGTTCTCAAAGCTGACTGCCTGTTACAATCCTGTAAGTTGCCTACAAAAGCACAGGTGTCAGGCTCCATCCAAGCCCAGTTAAACCGGATCCTTTGGGTAATTCCAGAGCATCCCATTTTGTAAAGCCCACTTGATTCCAATGGGTCAGTTAAGTAACTTTCCTATGGTCAGACAGTTGGTGATTGAAAGGCCTAAGAGGCAAGAGTATACATTGAAGGATTAGATAAGAAAACAGCCTTCATTATTACCTTTGAGTCTCAAAATCAATCAATATCTGCCTTCTTTGTCTCTGTCTAGGACTTTTTTGATCATTTAGAACTATTCAACTCAAAATCCCAGTCAGAATGACTAAGATTAAAAAAATGATAAGTGCTGGCAGGGTGTGGTGAAAGGGGAACTCTCTTCTACTGCTGGTGGGAATGTAAATTGGCCCAGCCACTGTGGAGAACAATTTGGAGATTTCTCAAAAATCTACAAGTAGAACTATCATATAATCCAGCAATCCCACTCCGTGGTATCTACTCAAAAGATGGAAGAATACTTAATCGGAAAAGTGATTGCACATCGATGTTTATTGCGGCACTATTCACAATTGCTAAGTCATGGAAACAACCCAAATGCCCATGAACAGATGAATGGATGAAAAAACTGTGGCACATATACTCAGTGGAATACTATCCAGCCATAAAAAAAACCCCACAAAAACAGAACCCTGGTTTTTGACAGGAAGTGGATGAATACGGAAGATTTATTGCTGAGTGAAGCAAGCCAGGCTATGAAGGAGAAGCATTGTATGTCCCTACTTAATATTAACCGAGTGTCCGCACTCTGTGACCGGAACTAATTGACTAAAGGATATAGAAACACAGTATATAGTTGTAAATACCAGATACAGTGTGTGTGAAAGAGGAGGTTCTGAGGAAGGACATTTAGAAGAAAAACAGGGAGGTAAAGCATTAATGACACAAAAAAAATGTGGTATTATCTGTTGAAGATATTTTGTAGTTTTATCAACTGTAGTAGGGAGAAATGTTCACCTGTTGAAATATCCATTTTGTAAGCCAAATAATAATGTGATTGAATGTATAAAAGAAAATGAAATTTAAAAAATAACTATTCAACCCAAAATAAAGAGCTGACGTTGCTTCAGGCAGCTTAGATGGTGTGGACAGTGAATTAAGGTAATTTAAGGGCTCAAAAATGCCTTTTCCTTTCTCAACCCTGAGACCATACAAGGACATGCAGGGTATAGAGGCTTCTCTACAGAATTTTCTAGATGGTTATAATCACTGGCTTGGCATAAAAGATATCATGTTCTTGACACTCTGCAGAAAAACTGTTCTCTATGACTCTGTCCTTAACATTTTAGATGCAGGATGTTTTATACATGGTTTCTGCACAACAGAATCATTGTGTGGGAGCAGCCCTTTCACAGATAGCTTTATTCTATTGACAAGGATGGGCTGTGTTCACAATAAGTCATTGTCAGACCCTCTTGTAATTTAAACATTCTAACATTCCCTTCTCATTTGGCTGCTATTTAGCCTAGCTGTCCAAGAATCCAACAATTTTAAAGAATAGACTCTCAATAAACATCTCCACAAGATGAGCTAGGAGCTGAGCTAAGTTCCCTGTCTACCCCCAACTCACATGGATTTTTTTTTTCTCCTAAACTCTACGCCTCTAAATAGATCTAGGAGCACTCTAGATTTAGAGTGAGTTTCCTTTAAAGACTTCACTTTCTCCAAAGAGGCAAGAAAATACTACTTTTGCAAACTACTTAAGAGTGCACACTGAAATTCATTATACTTGAGGGACTTCCATTCCAAGTCTCCCGAGACAACTAGTAGGTCTAATAATGAATATGGCTACAGAGCATCAAGGATCTGTTTGAACAGAAGTGTTTACAAGGTGGAGGCCACTGAAACAAAGTTGGCAACTCTCGTGAGTTCATCACTCTGGCAATCAGGTCTGTAAGAGACTTGCTCGTGCCGCTCCCTGGAGAGACCTTGAAATTGGCCCTGGGCACAACACATGGCACTTGTCTGCCTTACTCAGCTTCAAAGCCATTTAGTTGTGTAATTACAAACAAGTAATGGCTATGTTGCTGGACTCCCATGTAGTCGACCACGGTTCAAGTCCTGGACCTGGTGGCTTAAACTCACACTGGGCGCGTGTGCATGTGTGCCCATGATCCCGAGAAGAGAATGGAGGAGAAGGGATTGCAACATGGCCATCTCCCCCCGGGGGTGTGGGGGTTGGGTGGGGGGTTGATTTCTTGCTTCCTGTCTCTCTGTCTCTCTCTGTCTTTCTGGCCAGTGCACGCACCCTATAGAAAAAAACTCTCAAAAAAAAAAAAAATCCAGCAAACTGCTCCAAAGAAAGTTGTGCAACTATTCTGGTGTTAATAAAACATAAATAGGACTAATAAAATTGGTCCAAATGCAAACTCATCTGTGATGAGTTGTACTGTTTCAGACTCAAAGTTTTTTGAATTATGATAAAATATACATAATAAAAATTTTACCATCCTATTTATAAGTGTCAAGCATATTCATACTGCTCTACAATGTGAACTTTCTTTTTTTTAAAGAATTGTGTTTTATTTTATTTATTCATTATTTTAATTTGACCAAAGAGAGAGAGACAGAGAGAGAGACAAAAAGGGAAAATGAGAAAGCAAGCCACCAGGTTTGGGACTCGAACTGTGTTTGGCTATGTGGGAATGTTCAGTGCCTTAACCACCATACCACCAGCTTGTCTCCTGTCAACTTTCTTATCTTGCAAAATGGAAACTCTATGCCTTCTAAACAATAACAGCTTCTCATTTTCTCTCCCTCACTCCCTGTTAATCACCATTCAACTTTCTGTTTCTATAAGTTTCACTACAGATAGCTCGTAAAAGTGGAATCATGTAGTATTTGACTTTTTTTCCCCTGGGTCTAGCTTATTTCGAATAGCATAATGTCCTTAAGGTTCATTCACGTTGTAATATGTGTCAGAATTTCCTTTTTAAAGCTAAATACCCTCCCACTGTGTGTATATACCATATTTAATCTATCCATTCATCTGTTAATCTGATCTTTTTTTTTTTTTGGAGAGGTTTTCGCTATAGGGCACGTGCACTCGCCAGACAGACAGAGACAGACAGAGAGATAGAAAGCGAGAAATCACCCCCAGAGGGGATGGCCACACCGCAATCCCTTCTCCTCCATTCTCCTCTCGGGATCTTGGGCATGCACGCACACGTGCCCGGCGTGAGTTTAAGCCACCGGGTCCAGGACTCGAACCGCAGTCGACTACGTGGGAGGCCAGTGACATAGCCATTACACTAACTGCTGGTCCCAATCTGATCTTTTCTAACACTGAATAGAAACTAATTTTTGATCAATATATCCCCCTATGGGCATCGGGATGATGTGAATATACAATAAATCTATAGATCTTCTAAAAATAAAAGTAGAAAAGGAAAAATTCTGCCTCTGCCATTACTCTACAGATATGTTCTCTTTTAGAATTTAGCTGCAGGGTGTGTGTGCTTGATGAAGGGACACGGGTGGGGTGGGTGGGAAAGCACTCCCTGGGGGGATAGTCTCATGCAACCCGTTCTCCATCCTCCTCTGAGAATTTTGGTTGCACATGTGCACATGGCACACACGACCTACTTGTTTCCTCAAGTTGCCAGTCCAGGACTCGAACCATGTGGCTGCCATGTAGGATCTAGCTGCCTTAGCCTTCATGCCATCTGCTGGCACTCTACAGGGTTTTTAAATGATCCTGTCCCACTTCAACTTTTTACCTTTTCAGTGTTTGTGTTAAAGTTTTGGTTAACAACCAATCCATCAAAAATTTGCCTAAACGGATTCTGTTTTCTAGAGTAAGCAAGATTAGTTACATTGGCAGTGTAATGCACATGGCCATGGACCTGATTTGGATAGCAGAACAACCAGAATTGTGCTAGCTGCAGTGGCACAGTGGTAACCCGATCTCTGTAATGTTGAAGCCATGTGGGAGGATCCCAGGGTCACATCCTGAGAGATCCCTGTACATGCTTTGGAATCCCACTCCAACGCTGTTACCAGGCCCCCTCTTTATAGATGACATCAACTTATGGGACTCTGTGTGAGAGCCAAAGCAGATCACTCTCATACTGATTCCATTTACCTGCCCCCCACTCCTTTTTTAAGAATGATTTATTCATTTAAATTTGACTGAGGCTAGGGTGGATGGCAGTGTGAAGATTGTTTTGGAGTACCCGTCTATCTCTTTCTCATCAAAGAAATAAAGAAAAAATCTTGAAAAATGTTCGTAAAAAAATTAAAAAAGGCCTGGGTTTTAATTCCATCCTAACACTCACAAACAGTGTAATTGCAGACAAGTTATTTATCCTCTCCGAGCCTTGGTTTCCTCATATATCACGAACACTATTAGCTATTATGTAGGATTGCTCTTGTGAGGGTTAGGTGAGATCGTATATGTACTATGTGCTTAGTATGCGACCTAGTACAGTGTAAACATGATGAAAGACTACCATTATTGTTATTTTTATTAGAAAGAGGGTCTTTTCAGAGGTAATAGTATTTGAAAATAAATAAGTAGCATTTTTGTAGGAGTTTGCTCCAACTACTAAAGGATGCCTTTACTGGATTTCTAAGAGATGAACATTTATCAATATTTATGTAAACATATCCCATTGTATTTATCAGGCAATCAAATACACTCTTAGGAAATTACACTTAAGTCTTCCAATGGTAACTAAATAAGTAGTTCCTAATTAGTGAACATTTTAAAAACTCTTATACTGATGCTACCTAAATTATGGAGTGCATTTTGTCTATAGGAGACAGATTTTAAATCCGGGCATTAGGGGACCAGCAGATGGCAAAATGGTGACATCTCTGGACTCCCACACAGCCACCTGTGGTTCACGTCTCAGACCTGGCAGCTTGAAACTCACACCAGATACATGTGCATGTCTGCCCAAAATTCCAAGTGGAGAATGGAAGAGAAGGGATTGTGATATGGTAATCCTCTCTGGGACCCTACCTCTAAGCAGGAGGTTTCAGCTGACATGTCACTTAGTTCTAACTTCTCTTCTATCTAATGACTGTCATAGTTTGAAATACATCATAATTACCAAAAGTGGGCAAATGCTATCTTGGGCTGCCTCTTTGATACACATTAAAGAAAAACAGATTTGACTTCTTCCAATGATGTGTTGGGTTGCCTTGAACCAGGAGAAAAGTACCAAAAACTGTCTTAAGCATAGTAAGAATCCCTCATAGTTACCCCATATTTGACCAATTTTTCTGGAAGTCAAATGTGTTTTAAAACTAATGTAGATAACAATCACCTTCTTATATGCAAATTTATTTTATGCTAAGTTTATAGTGGTGAGTGTGAAGCAAATGCAATGTGTTTTCCTGAAATTGGTGAGTTTGCATGGTGCTACTCACACTTTTCGATTTCCCTGTACACCAGTTAGCTTCGTCCTGTGCCACAGGTAGCCTGTCTCTGCTTCTTTTAACATCCACCTTGAGACCGTGGGTCGACCTTAGACAGCACAGGTAGAGCCAGGGCACCTATTGCTGCTTATAGACAAAGCCTTTGCTCTATGATTCATGACCCTGAATTTGAATGGAGGGCAGGGTTATTCACATTTAATATTTCACAACTTACCAATGCTAATGGCCCAATCAAATTCACTTTCTTTGTTCTTTTCCTGTCTCGGTTGCTGTAAAAAATATGATGAAATTTAAAATGTTTCACAGTCAATTGAACATAAGCCTGTCTAGTTATAAAATTAAACTTTTGTAATACGTTCAAATTCAAGAGCAATGTCCACCAATGTCAAAGTCTAGTTTGACAAACACCACAAGGCAGCTAGCAAGTGTGAAGGTAACTGTCCAAGGTACTACAAGGATGTATGGAAAGAGGAGCGAGGGCATCCACAGAGGAAGGTGAGTACCGTAATGTGCCTGCCAAATCAATTAGCTTCTTCCTTTTCAAAAAACTATACACATTGATTTAAAATTAGTAAAGACCACACTTCTGAAGGATCGTGGGGGAGGGGCGAATGTGTGGCTTCAGGAATCCTGTTGGTTCTAGGATTCAAAATACACCTAGAATCCAACTACTTCTCACACTTATATTGCTGTCCTCAGTCATATAGCTTCTTCTTAGTCTCTCTACTTCCGCCCATTCCTTCTTTGGTTTATCCTTAACCAGAACCCACAGTGCTCCTTTAAAAGCTGAAGTCATTGATTGGACCTTATCAGACAGTGGCTATGGCAATGCATTGGGAGCTGGATCCCACATGGTCCACTGCGGCTTGTAAAAGATGCCAGGTGCATGTGCACGCATGCTCGAAATCCGGATGGAAGGAGGACTGCAGTGTGATCACACTCTGTTAGGGACCTTTTCTCCCTCTCCTTGTCTCTCCTGGGTAAGTGCACACACTGGCGGTGTAAACAAACACACAAACAAACAAAACCTAGCAAGTTGTATCACGATATCACTCTGCTTAATAACCCACAACATCTCTTATCTTTCTCTGAGGGAAAACCAGAGTGCATACACCAGCCCCTAGGACCCTACCTGATCTATTCTCCTATTACCTGTCCGAACACATCTCTCATTCCCACTCCTACTTACTCTGCTCCAATTCCTCAGCCTCTCTGCTGTCCTGTGAACACGGCAAACATGCAAGGCTCGGCACTGTCAGCTACTGCTGCCAGGAATGCTCTCCCTTAGACCCCCACATCGCTCGTTCCTCTACTTTCTACCAAGTCTTTGCTCAAATATCACCTTCAAAATAAGACCTGCCTAACCACTCTGTTGATATTGCAAAGTATTTCTTCTTTGCACTCCTGACTCCTTAACCTTGATTAGTATTTTTTCATAGCATTCATTTCCTAGTTACAGAGCTGTTGTTTTATTGGGGCTGTGTATTATTTATGCCTGTCATCCTTTCAATAATGTAAACTCCACGAAGGCAGAGTTTTCTCTTTTTTTCTTTTACTGTTAAAGAGCACGTGCAGGTTGGGGAGAGAAAGAGAAAATATCCCTTCCCCAAGGGGAAGGGGGTCATACAATAATCCTTTTTCCTCTATCCTAAGACTAGATCTCAAATTATGTAGTATAGTCACTAAAATCACTAGAGAAACGTCTGCAACTAAACATATTCCAAAGAATGTGTTACAGGGGATAGCAGCATGACTGGAGGAGCCACATAACCAACTCTCGACTGGCTCTAAATACTGAGGTAGGCTTCCTTTGAATGTATATTCTTCAGTCTGCTTTTATAAAAATGAGTCTGTTTATCTTTAATTCCATAATCTTACAGTCTAAACTTTTCTTTTGAGCAGCTGGCTTCTTCCAGCAGAAGGCTGCAGGCTTCCCATCGGACGTCATCCTTGGGCTCTGGAGTGTCACTGAACCTTTTGCAGGGACAGCTTCTCTGTATGCTCTCAAATGTTCAGCCAGTGCAATACACAAATAGCCTTCTTCATGAAAATGCCATCTATTAATAGATCCACAGTCAATTGCAGTCCAAGTGGCCAGCCCACGAAAACCACATTTTTCTTTCCTCGGTAATACCATCTATCAGTTTTCCAATTCTATATTGCAAAACCAACATTTCTATGAATAAAAACCATGGTACGTCGAAGGAATAGAGCCATGTCACTGTTGGAACAAGTTAACAGACTGAAATAATGCTTCAGTTGGACTATCAGATAGGTGCATTTTCAGTTAACTAATCAGGCTCCTTGCAGCTTGAGGACAAACTGAGGAACATGATAAGTGTGTCCTTCTGGATGAGCACTGATGACACTGGTCAGTTAGTTCTGGGTGGCCTGACATGAACTCAAAGACCATACAGCCTCAAAACCATTACAGGCTAAAGGTGAAAATGCTTCCCTACTGCCACAGTGCAAGAGGAAACAAAGGTGGCATGGCCTGGGCTACTCTGCCCCTAATGAGGCCTCTGAAGTGCACAGAACAAGGTCCCAGGAACCAAATTCAGGAGAAGGACCAGTGACCAAAGGAAGTGCTGAGATTTTTCCATTGCAATGGAACAGAAAGGAATTAGGAAGTGCAGGTTAGGGAAGAACTGCACTGGTCAAGGCCCTCTCCTCTGCTCATGGAAATATAGAAGCAGCCTGGCCATGGGAGGAGGGGGAGAGGTAAAACAAGGAGGAAGAGCAATACCCCCCTGGGTTGGGGGTGGGGGCGGGGAGGCAGGGAGGTGGAGGCAGGGGCTTGTTTCTCCTCATTGCCCCTGTTCAAAAGCACAACCATCAGCAGCAGATGTCTGCTGTTCCCTAAGCATGAAAACTCTGATGTACATCAAAGTTACTTGTAAAAGTTCTAAGTTACATAATAGAAGGAATGCCACACAGCACATGCATTCACATATATCCAGTCAGCCCTGCACCCAGGGCAAGGCACACATTTAAAGACAGCCTGTTCGAAAGTATCCTCAGCAACATTCCTCGAGGCCACTTGAAACTTTTACTCCAAGCTCTGAATCTTAAAATAATTCTCCAAAGAGCCTCCAAAGGCCAAAGGCACCAGCTAACTTTCTCAACTTTTTTGCAAGACTGAGCTTGGCCCTGTCGATTTGATTCACGGGGCTGAAGTACCTGCTGCTGCCCAGTTCAAAGTCGCCCTCAGCTCTCCTGGGACGCCCGGCTGTTCCATTCCTTGCGGCTTCCAGATCCATCTCCGCCTGGGGAGAAAGCACAGTCTCAGGTCCCAGTGCACCTGGCTGGGCTCCTAGGGGACCACCAGCCTTCTTGTAGCCTCTCTGATGGTCCTGAGCGGGGCGCTCAGGTCGCGGAGACCTGACGCTCTCGGGGGAGGTCCCGCTGCTCCCGCCCCGCGCCCACCGTCCCCC